TTTTTTTTTTTTTTTACTTTTTTTTTTTTTACTCGATTTTTTTTTTCACTCTTTTTGACTAAGGAACATATTGGAAAAAGAAGAAGCTGCTACCACAACAGATTCTTTCTTTGTGCTGCTCTAGGGTTTTGGAGAAACGGATCAATGATTCACAATTATAGACATGGCATGTGCGTGATTTTGTGATGGTGGGTGGAAAAGTTTTTGGAAAATAATTGAAGCAAACTTGATGGATTTAGATGAAGTAATATTACCCAAGTTTAGCCCTAATACCAAATTTGATACAAGATAAATTGGAAAATTAATGGAGAATGGCACAGATTTATGAAAAAAGAGGGAATTAAGGGAAGAACGGTGGAAGAAGAGGATCAACAAAAGAAGTAGAAGAAAGTAAAAAAGAGAGAAATTTCATCACAAGCTACCAAAATAATTTATTTATTCATCAACTGTTTCAATTTCATGAGAGGCTAAATTTAAATAACAAAACAAAACCTTTAAAAACTCTAAAGAGAACTGACTTGGGCCAAACCACTTATACAAGTCCAATTATATAAATAAGAGTCGAAAACATAAATAATAGTCCAACTAAAAAATAAATAAAATGGACGTCCTCATCAACGTTGACACAAGTAAAGAAATGGGTTATTGAATTATTGATTTAATTGTCGGGTCGATGGTTTAACTAACATGCTAATTTTGATTTTATATATCTTCAATTATTACAATTAAACGATAACAACCATTTCATATAAAATGTGAGAGATTACGAACTTTTCATAAATCAAAAGTCAAATATCAAGTTTGTATAAAACATGATTTTTATTACTGAAAAACAACGTTGTTTTAGCATCACTAGGGCAAAATTCTCGATACCGAATTGATTTAATTTTTTCATGGATCAATGTCTTTTTGGTTAATTTAAATAATCGACCCGATTAATTTAACTAATTTATGGATCAATCCAACTGACTTTGGGTTGAATTTTATAACAACGGAGCTTATTAAAGAATTAAAAGTGTGTTTAATTGACTTTATTTTATTTTTTTATGAAAAATGTCATTTTTCCATCCAAATTATTACTTTTGGAGTGTTTAATTAACAATTTTTTCAATGAAAAATATTTTCAAACTTTTGATTACGTGACCATATTTTCTTTAAAAAAAAAGGAAAATATTTTCTTTAGAGAGAAGTAGTTTTTATTTTTCAGGTAATTTACTTTAATTTCTCTATCTTATTTATCCACTCTCTTTCATCTACTTTCCAATAAAAAATGACAAGTATAATATTTTTAAAACTAAATCAATTAAACACATTTAATTACTAATTTTCATACAAATAAGTTCTAGACAATTGAATTGCCTAAAATTTATTTTCTTTTCATGCAAATTACATGCTTGTAATCAAACGAACCATAAATCTCATTACAGTTGGCCATTTGCCCATCACTTGATTTTTGGTTAGAAAACTTGATGCTTCATTGAGTCTAACAATTTTTGTCATTTTAATATGATATGACAATAAAGTATAAACTAAATAAAATATTGAAAAAGAATCAAGATTGTTCAAGAATCTTTTCTATTAATCAAAGTCCAATTTAAGATTTAAATTCATGAATCTTTTCAATTAATCAAAGTCCAATTTAAGATTTGAATTCATGAAATATAGGTAGACACAATTGGATTTTGATGAACACATATATAAAAAATTACCCACTCATGACGATAAATGTCCATTATGTCGATTTAATTTTTTACTCTATTTTGGTAAATATATGTCCACGCGATAGGACCATTTACTCAAATAATAATTTCAAAATAATTGTAGAACTTCTGCATAATTAATAAGAAATATACAAGAGTAAAAACTAAAGTCGTTGGAAAACGAGAGAAATCGAGTAAAATTAAATTTGACATTAAAAATGTGTCACCATTCGAATCGATGATTTTAAAAAATAAGAGAGAGAAATAGAGCAAAATTTAATTATAACACAAATAACTACGTATTATCAATTGAGTGGACTGTCCTACCACATGATCATATAAAACTCTGACCTATCGAAGTTTCTCTACCAACATTCACAAAAATGCCATGACCACTTTAATTGCCAATATTATAAGACCATATTATACCATAAATTCATAATCATGAATGTCAACAAAACTTAAAACATAGCCCAATTCTCATTATCGTGAAATTAACCTTGCCCTAAAAAACTGCAGCCAGATAAAACTCAATTCAAAGAAACCTTATACATCACATTACTTTTTGGACTACACAATTAATCAGGCCTTGTATAAAATTGACATAATGCCACAAGATTTTCCAGTCACTATGTATCAAGTTTCCAAAAATCCAAGTACCATGATTCAAAATGCGGAAGCAACCGTATGCATTCAAAACAAAATGCGCATACTAGGAAAAGGTTCTGTATCGGAAAATGAAACATTTCCACATGGCACAACAAAAATACCAACTACAAAATACCATCATTAAAACTTTAATGGCGCGACCTTCCAACCAGAAGCAAGAGAAATTACAAAAGCCTACTGCAGCAGAATATCTTTCAAGTTCCTTAGTTCACATTAATGGCAGTAATGCTCCATATGAATCTCGCCCGTAGGAATATACTTATCATAGTCGTTTGGAACGAGGCAGCAGGGAAAGTAAGATCTTCTTCCTCGGACCCTGCAAATTGTGCACCTTCTGTAAGTGAGAATCTAAAGATGAAAACCTGAGATTAAGATTATGATTGTTGGGAATGACAACATTAAAGGGAAGAGATTGTCCTGAGGCATGTCCACACCTTGTACACTTCAGGACACGTCCAAAAAGTAAAGCTAAAAAAGAATATTGATTTTATAGGAAATTATAAAGGTAAAAAAATAAAGATATAACATAAAAAATGTATAATCTAAAAGAATTTTAAATAGACAAATGCCCAATGTTTCCATGCCCTATATTTTTTTCCCCCTGTAAAGCACATGTCTGAGTATCAATGTCATGTCCGTGTCACATGCCAATGGTTCATAGCATCTAGATTTCCAAAACAAGAAACATAAAGATTGACTAGCCATCTTAACCAACTAAACTTAGTACCATCCACCACTTCAGAGCCTAACTACTTGCACATTCAACCATCCAAGTAAAATGTACAACCATAAGGATACATATTCAGTTGTCAATAGTAGCCACAAAGCCTCTTGTATACATTTTTATGAGCCAACCTCATCTACTGGCCACTAGTATATTTGATGGGATATGAATGGATATTTGTACATACAAACGTAACAAAGACAGTCAGTGGTTCACAAAGCTGATTACCATAGGTATTCCCAATTCTTTCAGATCACTGTCACCCATCTGTCTCAAAGCATACATATCCACCTGCAGAATGTATCAAAAACCCAATTAACCAATGCAAATATCCTCTATTTTCCACATTCAACGGAGGACAAAAAAAATGCCTTAAAATTTTGGATACCATGTGAATAACCAAAAGAGTAAATTAATGATCAAGTACATAATTCATGTCAAATTTACTCCTGATTCCTGTCTAAAAATTGATACCCTCTCATTTCAATTTTTCACCCTTTTATTTCCTTTTTTCAACTCTCAACAATTCTTGTCTTACACATGTTTCTAATTGTAGAACTCAAGACTGACTGTAGGGTTGTAAGCCCTGGAATTTAACATCAAAAGAAAAGAAGGATTATGCATTGCAAGTTAAAAAATCTGGAAGGAACACCATAAGTCACATACTTCCTCAGCCTTAAAGTAAATTGCATACTTTTCCAGGTCCAGAGATTGCAAAAAGCTGTCGACAGTAAGTTGATCATTCACCTGTAAAAATTATAGTCAAGTCAATTATGGAAACATGGGAAATGCAGATAACACAAAAAGGTTTGACACGCACTTTTTAAGGATCTTGTAATAAATGCAGTGTCGAATGATTCAATACTGACAGGTAAACAAATTTCACTATATTACAGACTAAAAAAATTGGTCACGCTATGAGATCATGAAGAAATCAAGTTAGGACGGGGAATTTAGATGATTGGTGGAATGGGAAACTGGATTGTGGTACCACACAAATCAAGTTCCAGGAATTCACTAACTTCGTACTAAATACGTAAAAAGAAACATCTAATTTTTCACTTCAGAGGATTTTGGATAAATGTAGAAACAATCAGTCTTCCATATAAGAAATTCATAAAATTCATGATAAATCCCACAGTAGCAACTAATGGAAAGAGCCCAAATATTAATATCCCATTGTAGCTACTGATGAGGAGCCTTTCAATAGAAATTTTAAAGACAAAACAAAAATCTTCTAACAGTCATTGAAATGATGTAAGCACCATCTCTACTCAAATAACATTAATGACACAGCTATGGTTAAACAATGGGATCGTGACGCATGATGAAAGGAGCGTGGTACGGTCACAAAGCATAGAATACATTTTTTTTACCACATATTATATGTCTCTCAGTCTGGCTAAGTTATTAGCATTTTTTCCATATAGCTGGAGGTCAGGCTTTATGTTCCCCCTTCAAAGTTTTATATTTCCTTTTACTGCATTAATAATAAAAATTCTGCCATAGGGTGGTATTTAGAAAATAAATAAATAAACAGTGGTAATTTGAACATGCTTAATATTAATTTTTCAGAGAGGCAATAATGGAGAATAAAGTAGGAAAGAGAGACCCCACATTGAATATTGAAACCTTTTTTCCATCTTTATCTTGCTCTTAACTGATTGAATTTAAACGTCAGTACATGTGAACCAATTTGTGGCTAGTAGTGGCCTGTTAACATCCCATATGCAACAATGCACCTATTTCTATATACGACAAATATTAATAACGCCCTATGCCTTATTCCTAGTATACTTGAAGTTGACCAATTTATGTTCCATATAGGTTCCCAAATGTCCCAAAAGGTTTCTAAAGCAAGACAAGGGTAGCCAACATAAGGCACTTCCAAATGAATATATACCTGATGACATCATAATTGACTAGGAGATAAGCAAATTAATTCATGATGTTCAAAGAGGTAAAACGCATATAGTACTGACTTATCTTTCCAAATGGACAACACTACTCAAATTGGTAAACACTTTATACAAAGTGAAACTCGTGTTCATGTAAACCTTTCTTCCTAAGTACGTTATCTAGCAGATCCTAATCCTAAGGTGGGAGCATGCTCCTAAACTTATAAGCAATTTTATAACTTCCAAATAAGATTACTATCAAATTTTACATTTCATAGAGCACATATACAAACAAGTAACATAGTCTTATCCCAATAAATTTAGGGGTAGCGTCATTGCTATAAATATCAACAAGATCCAAAGCAACTGGATTCTTGGCAGCAACATCAGGCCATGCTGCTTTTGGTCTACCCCTTGCTCTTCTAAAATGTTTTAATGAGATTGCATCACTCTCTCTTATGAACAGTAGACTTCTTAAGCCTATGCAAACATGACCAACCACCTAAGTCATACATTATTCATATAAAGACAAAAGAGAAAAAAAATGCACACAGCAGTTGGCACAAACTAGTTCTCCATGTAACACGATAGGAAGAAAAAGCAGAGAGGAGAGTAGTCTGTACTGCATATGCACTCCTCTTTACATCACTGCCAGGTAGAGTAAGTGGGGCAACCATTTGTGTCAAGGTCTTTGAAAGTCCAGGAGATGGAACCACTTTTGCCATGAGAGGTGCAGAATTCATGGAGCTTGAAAAGTTAAAAACATCTTTGCTCGTATACATGCTCATTCTGCCGTCATCATATGTCCTAACTGGACGCCTTCTCTGTAATTCTTCCTCTCTCCTGGGTGGTGAGAGAACTCGGGAACTTCCCAAAAATTCACCTGGTGACCTTTGCCTTAAACGGTCCATAGTCCAGGGAGAATAAGAATTTATTACTGAGTCCACTGTGGGAACATCATTCACAGTTCTCGTGCCAGGCATATGCGCCGTAATGCTTGAAATTCTTGGCTCATAGAGTTGATGTCTGGCATCATGCATGCCGTGTTTGACTTCCCTGGCTTTAGGAACACAGGTTTCCCTTGGATTAGGCACGTGCTGATCCCTAGCTTCGGGTAGGTGTTGTCTAGAATCCCTGGTTACAGAGGTTAGTTGCGTACCATCTTTTGGCTCCTGGAAATGCTGTCTACTATACCTGAGCTCTGGATACTGCAGTCCTGTATCCTTTGGCTTAGACATGGGCTCCCGGGTAACTATGCTATTTGTTGAAGATTGAGCAGGCCTTGACAAAAAGTTGCGAAGGTCTATCTCATTTTGCTCGATTTTATGACTTTGCTTCTGCTTAATAATTTTCTTTTTCATGATTTTGAATCGGAGGTCATCTCTGTTCAGATAAATGTCTTTTTTCATATAAGACACCAAAGATTAACAAATGATAAGCTAGTTGAAGACTCAACTTTTAAATTATATAAAACTTTTTAAGGACTCAAGAAGAGTCTGTTACCGTCCACAGCATTAGCAGTACTGCCATCTCCCCGCATTCTGAGAAAGATAGAACAGGATCCATAAATATACATCTTCTAGAATATAATCTTACTATTTTAACTTTTTCTTCCATACTGTAAATCACCTAACCCCATTAGAACTAATGAATAATGTCTAACATCATGTGGAATCAGAATAACTTCAGCAGCAACTTATGTTCAGTACTTGTAGTTATACATATTTGGGATATGAATATTTATGGGAAAAGAAAAAAATGAAAAAGCTAAACCCCTGAAACTAAGACAAGTATTCAAACACAAAACAACTTCATAACAACAAGAAGACGATAAAAGAAACCAAAAATATATACCGCTTGTTGACTTGAAGAGATAAATCCACATTACTTCCCAGCCTATCTCTAACGGATCGTTTGCTTCCAACAGCTGGCTGTGAATCAGCAAAAGAACTATCCACCATAAGCCCTGACCGTTTCACCAGCTGCAGAAACCAAAATATCAATATATGTACAGAACTACTTATGTGTGTAAAGCTTTAGAGTGTAAACTCTTCGATTACCCCTTTCCATACCGTCCAAGTAACTAAATTTAGTATAAATGAAAACAGCCCTAAATAAATCCAAGATTGCTAAATCAAGAAACACCAGTTTTATCCTTTTCTCCACCTTATTTGATCTTCAATCACCATATAAATATACATATATAAATACTATAATAGCACATAATAGTCCATTCCAATTGAAAAAAAAAAATTGTTTCTCAATTGCCAAATTTACATGAAAAACACCTGCATTATCCGTTTCATTTGTTCATCAACAACGCATTTACAACCTAATAGTAATTTCAATACATATAATAGCACATAATAGTCCTTCCAATAAGAAAATAAAGAAATCCTTTTACATTGGCCAGATAAATAAAAGGTAAAAGTACAAAAAAGTACTGAATATTAATTACCTGCGCACCGCGCCCTAGGGTTATACTGACATGAGACCTTGATGGGTTTGACATGGAGATTTCGAAACACAAAAAAAGCTTCGAAACCCTATTCAATCGATCAATTGATCGAACGAACAAACAGAGAATCAAAAATTAAACCAGCCATCGACCTAAGTACGCGTCAGGATTTAGCAAAGTTGATTCCAAAAATAGGGTTGAATCAAATTACGGGGGTTTTCACTAAGAGAGACTTATTGAGCGAGGACGATCACGCCTGCGAATAGTATTCAAGTGCTGAAAGGGATATACAGCTTAGAGCATCTGCAAGAGCTATGTAGATTGTAGAGTGAGTAAAGAATGTCTTAGCCTACACGTACGTAATAAATTTGTATACATTAAAAAAAGGTTAATTAGTACAAAACATTCATACCTTTGGAGATTTTTGTGGATAACGTCCCTACCTTTACCATTTTTTGTGCAGAACGTCCTTCTATCAATTCCCCGTTAAAAATGTTCCGTTAAATCAAATAAAATTGATCTTTCCTTTTTAAAATGCAGGGGTAAGATCGTCCATCCAATATTTTCTTCACCGCGTAATCTCTCCCACCTCTTTCTTCTTCAAATGTTCAAGAAAAAGTAAAGTAACATGAAAAAAAATTTTTTGAACATTATTTTTTCATTCAAAAAATGAGAAAAAACGAGGGAAAAAAAAAAACTTGAACAATATTATTTCATTCAATAAATTAGGAAAAATGACGTGAGAATGATTGCATTTCTAGTAGAAAATATTCATAACTGCTGTAATACTGGTTGTTCAAAACATTTTGGAATGCTATATGAAAATAATGAATATGTGATTAATAAAAATGAGATGTCCATCCTCATTTTGTGCTTACGAAGGGTGTAAATAAGAGGTGTATAATTTTGAACAGCTGGATAGAGATAGGCACTTTCTGATTATGAAACTTTTTTCTCTTCTCCAAACTGGATATCTAGAAATGAGCAATCTTTAATTATTGTCAAATACTCAGTTTACTTAGTTTGGTTATTGAGCTTGGTTGTTGAGTGCTGATTTTATTGCATTTTGTTATTGAACTTGGATGTTGAGTATTGATTTTGCTGTGTTCGAACTAGGTATTATGGACATTCAATTGCAAGGATAAACAGAATTGTATTTGGCTGCAGTTTAGACAGGTTGTTTGGCTCCAGATACGTGGGGATGGTTTGCACAATTTTTAACAAAGGTAAAGGTAGGGATGTTTTGTGCAAATAAAATGTAAAGGTAGGGATTTTGTGCAGAGACATTGTAAGGGTAGGGATGTTTTTCGCAAAGACAATATCAAGGTAGGGATTGTTATCACCAATTCAATTTTATGCTAAAATGGGGGAGAAAACACGTTCATATTTCATCATCTTCTCCACTCCATCACATTTATTGTCCATTTACAAAATTATACTTTGATTGGCCTTCTCACTTTACCTCTTATTTACACCGTTCATAAGCACAAAATGAGGATGAACATCTCATTTTTATAAACCACATATTCATTCTTTTCATATAGCATTCCAAAATGTTTTGAACAATCAGTATTACAGCAGTCGTGAATATTTTCTACTAGAAATGCAGTCATTCTCGCGTCATTTTCCCTAATTTATTGAATGAAATAATATTGTTCACGTTTTTTTTTCATGTTACTCTAGTTTTTCTTGAACATTTGAAGAAGAAAGAGGTGGGAGAGATTACACAGTGAAGAAAATGTTGAATGGACGATCTTACCCCTGCATTTTAAAAAGAAAAGATCCATTTTATTTGATTTAACGGAACATTTTAACGGGGAATTGACAGAAGGACGTTCTGAGCAAAAAATTGTAAAGGTAGGGACGTTCTTCGCCAAAAAACGAAAGGTAGGGACGTTATCCACAAAAATCTCCAAAGGTAGGGACGTTTTGTGCTAATTAGCCTTAAAAAAATAAAGAAATAAACAAAATATGAACTCCAACCTTGAGGGCTCCTACCGCTCTGCCCCTAGAGCTTTGTGAGGGAGGTAAATCGCGGGATATGTTCCAACAGGCAAAGGAACAAGAGCTATCTGTACAGTACGCCTACAAGAAGTCCAATTTCATGTTTCAGGTATCGAACTACCACACTGCGACTGCCAGCAAAGTCTGAGCTAATATCACTCTTGTCCTTTGTACCACTGGATTATGTCCCTGGGGTCATTTTTTATTATTATTATTATTATTTTGTATACATAATTCAATGGATGAGAATTTTTTCAATCAAGTAAAAAAAAAATTATAGGTACTCTCTTTTTTACACATCATCTATACCTAAATTATTGTATAATTGATTGAGTACAAGTTGCATTATTCAAAATTAAATGTATTCAAAGTATTATAATTTTCAATTCTCCATGTATTTAGGCCTCGTTTTAAGCCCCATTAATTTGAAGTAATTATATTATGGAATAGTGATTGATGGAGAATAAGTGGTTAAGAAAAGAAATTTTTTTTATTTACGTGTAATATTATTTTAGTAAATAATGTGTAATTGAAAATGACTATTGTAGAAAAAATAAGGACCATGCTATACAAACATAATAATTGACATGAAGGATGACCAAACACCCACACCTCGGGGGTTGGGCATTATTTTATTCACTCAGAGTCCACACTCTATGTGAGGGTCGGTCACCCATTCAATCACCAAAATTCGGGCACTTCGACATTTTCCAAAAAATAATAAGAAAGAATGTAAAAGAATGGAGCTCAAGCAGGCACTTATTCAAGGTGTGTTTGTCACCCATTATTTGGAAAGAATGTATTGTGGAATAGTGATTGATGTTGAAATATGTGATTAAAAAAAAAATTTTGATTTACGTGTAATATTATTTTAATGAAGAATGTGTAGTTGAAAATGGGTATTATAGAAAAAATAATAGAAAAGAATGTGAAAAAATGGATGACAAACAGGAGCTCAATCATACAATATAAACAAAGGAAATAGAGGGAAACAAAATAATTTGGAAGGAAGTTAGTAAAAATAAAATATATAAAAATTAATAATAAATACACGTTGAGAGTAGTAAAATTAAAGTGCTGTAGATAAAAATGTTGTTGGAATGATTAAAAATTCTCTTGAAGATACTCTAAGATGTTAAAAGTGAGTTGATAAACGAGATGTGCTCTGAAAAATTGGATAGTGTTGGATAAAGGTTGTGAATTTAATTAAGGCTTCATTTGGTATCCATTTGTGTAAGAACGAGAATGAAAAATATAGTCGTTATCAGATCCATACAAGAGATAGAAAGTCAAATATGATGGCTTGATGTTATGAATAACGATCATATTGTTTATTTTTGTGGCAAAAAATGATAATCAAACGGGCTAAATATGTGTTTAGAAACGAAATTTGATCAATTTTTGAATAAATAAAAGTTTATCAAAGACATACTTATATTTTGTTGCTGCTAAAAGTTAATAAAAACTAATAGAAACCAATGTGATTCATGAAATGTGAGATGAAAAAAAATTATGAGAAACTAGTTTTGTAATGAAAATTGAAATTTGACCAACTTTTTAATAAATAAAATTCAACTAAAGAATCATTTAATTATATGCAATTTATTTTAAGGCTTGTTTGTAATTTATTTTCATAGATTTTGATCAATGTTTGATAACACCATTTATGAAAGTTTGGGAAAATCGATACTTGATAGTTTCTTTGTACACTAACATCCAAACTTGGTGGTGTAATTAACAATATTTTTCAATCCACCAAATCAGCAAATTTTGACAATTCCGGAATTCTCTTCCAAATTTATTATCCATAAAAAATTATTTTCTACCCACGTATTTTGTTTGTAATTAACTTGTAACTAAAAATACAATAATAAAAAAATTATTTCTAAAAAAATAATTTGATAACTAAATATTTACTTATAAGTTATAAGTAAAAAATTACTTATAAGACAAAAAAACCACTTTTTATTAAAAAAAATTGCTTATAAAGTAATAAATAATACTAATAAGATAAAAAAAATGCACTTATAAAATATAAAAAATACTTATATTTAAAAAATCACTTATGTATAAAAATTATTTAAAAGTATAAAAATTACTTATAACTTAAAATTTTAATCACAAGTAAATATTTCACTTTTAATTTAAAAAATTAACTTATATGTAAAAAATAACTTATAAATAAAATATCATTTATAATTAAAAAAATAAAATCCATACAATAATGTTTTAAGCATGGGTTAGATTGTTTTAGAATCTGCAATTAAAAGTAACTCAAAATTTAATCTCTCGTAAAATTTCAAAATCGATATTTTTAAAAACTCCATAATGGGTACCCAAAGCTCCCAAACAAGCCTCTAGATAAATTGTATTTACATGTATCTTTATTTATTTTCAAACTTAATTATAAAGATTTTAATTTAGATAACTCACGAAGATAAGACAAAACTTGCTATCAGTATCAAAATGACCACTCTAACGGGGACATTACATCTATTAGTCAAAAGTATTGTTTGCATGAGAAGGTTGCTCTCTAACCACTATATAGGCTCCTATGGCTCGGTGGTCGGTATTGCTCATGTTGACCAAATGAAATGAAGTCGTTTTGCTCATATCGTTAGTTTATATAACTTCTGTTTGGTTCTTATTATTTTCTCATTAAAATGAAAAATATAATCGTTATCCATCATATCAAGTTACCAAATTTGAATTTATATCTCTTGTGTGAAGTCCATAACGATTATTTTTTAATTCTCATTCTTTAAAAAATGAGAAACAAACGGGGGCATATTTTCTTTAGTTGCATAAAACGATGTCATTTCACTTGAATTCGATAGTTTTCCTTGAATTTTTTTCTCAAGAAACCTTGTATTTTTACATCTAGATTTTCTTTGGCTTTGCTAAGAACACTATCAGAAAAAAACAATTTCTTATGTTGAAAATTTTACAATGATTAAAGGAACCAATTTAAAAAAGTCAATTGTCGATATCAAACGAATAAACAAGTTTTTTTACCTACATTGTTGCATTTAACCATATTTGAAAAACCTATACGCGATGGGTATGACTCAACCTCGTCTCTTTATCCATTAATTAGCACAAGTATTTTGTGCCATGGAAATGTGTGATATTTTTTTTTCCTTTTAACTTACTCAAAAGTCTTTGATAATATTCTAAACGATTAGTTTATTGTGGCCAAAATAACCTTCATTGTTGGTTCCTGTAGCTTATTTCAATGCATTTATTTAATAAAAAAATTATTTCTAAAAAAATAATTTGATAACTAAATATTTACTTATAAGTTATAAGTAAAAAATTACTTATAAGACAAAAAAAC